ACAGGTTACACAGATGCCCCAGACCTGCCAGTCATGCTGGTGCGACTATAGTTACAGGTATCCTATCCCAACTGATCGATAGAATGCTGTTACCGTAATACCGTCTATATATTACAGAGGTAATTATTCAAATTTCACTGTTGGTAAGTTTTGAACTCATAACCTACCACTTGGGGGTATGACAACTTATCCACTTCACTAAGTCACTACACCCTTTTATAATCTGAATAGTTATAACAACCTTTTTCTAAAAAATAACTTGTTTTTATCTGATTTTACAAATTTTAACACTGTTTCATAAATCTAATCTTTACAATAATATTATTAAAAGTCAAGTTATCTTTCTATTCAGGTCTTTTAAGTAAACTTTTATCTTTTTGATTTCTGTGATTTACATATCATAAAAACTTATCACAAGTTTATATCATCTGGTACCAGTTTGTATTCCTTTGTACAAGATACAACTATTGCACAAATACCATGTAACCTTTCAGTTATACTAGTATAACACAAATAACAGATATCTAATTCCAACTAATAACAAAAAAACAATTAATTATAACACAAAAAAAATTTAAAATTTTTGTTATACTGAAATTTAAACTCTAAACCTGCCATTTAAAAGTTAATAACTTGACCATTTTATTAAATCACCACATCTTCTTTTTTTCTAAAAGTTAATTGCTTCTTCAAAACTAAAAATATATAAAAATTATAAATTGTAAATCTGTTGAAATTGGATAACAAGAAGTCCATTTAGAAAGACTCAAGTAGAAAGGTAACTGGATCTTTGATGGCCTTATTGTAAAAGCTAGCCTGACGAAACAGATACCTAGGTCTAGTACCCAGTCCTAGTAGCCAAACAGACAAGAACCTCTGGGTTGGGAGTCTCAGAGGTACCACCAACCAGGCCGCTGGAATGAACTGGAGGAAAAGGATATTGGGCTGACCTGATATACTAATGGACTGGTCATAGTTCTACATGAGCTAGCTGGATTGGGAGTCTGGTAAAAGGATGAAGGAAAAGGCAGAGATATACTAAAGTACCAGGATTATGCTATGAAGTAGATGCTGAGATCTAAGTGAACTCTACAAAGGCATAGCAGTTTAATGGTTAACTCTGACCACAAGTGTTGGTTCTGCCATAGCAATACCTAGGTCAACTGTAAAAATAGGTACAGAAGACTCTGAGAAGTTTACCTCGAAGATAAATTAGTCCTAAGGTTAAAGATGATGATTTGATACATCTAAGATAACCAGTGATATTAACACAAGTTACAGGTTCAGAGGGTTTAAAATGAAACACCCAAGCAGGAGTGTTAGGTACAGCAATTGATAGGGAACCTTCGGGCGGACTCCTTAAATAGGTAATATAGAAAAGTTACATATGTAACTAATTGTACGCTCTCCTGTAGTGATTCATTGAACCACAATACCGATAAGTAATTAATAAAAATCAAAAGACCAAAAAAGTCACCTTAATACCAAAAAAAAAAAAAAAATTTATAAATATATTGTTGCACTAATGAGTCTTTACTAACATTTTATAGAACTCTAAAAGAGCTTTAATTGTTTTAACTATCATTGTTAATTTTTTAATAAATTGCAAAGGTTAATTTTGAAAAAGATTAATACTTTTACATTACTGCTTATATAATCCGGCCTTTTCTCTGAATATGTAGGTGATATTTCTATTGTAGTAAGTTGGCTTTCTATAATTAAAAAACTTGTTTTTTTCGTTGACCTAGTAATAACTCAACGAAACCTTTTCTAGGGCATAGTTGGATTTGGCTTCAAATTTTTTTTTCAAAGTTTGGATTTTTTTTTTTTTTACGTATTTAAAAACAACTATGATAGAATCTTAAAACACACATACTTACCTATTTTCAATACTACGATTCATTACAGCATTAAAAACAGCATGAATTATTATTAAAGATGAAATAAAAACGAAACGCGTAGGAATGATATAAATACAAAAATATAAAATAATCACATGATATTCACGTCCAATTAAATACTACTCCCTTTCGTGGAATTCTATATTTAGAAATCACATGACGGTACTCATTTTTGCATTTAAGAAGGAATTACATTCCCTAAAAAGTACTTCATATAAACTTAGTCACTCAACAAGTAATTGATTCGAATCAGCCAATCATATGAAAGTCTTCCTATGAATTCAATACCCTCAGAGTCGACTACATCGTCGAATGACCCTTTCCTTACCCTATGGAACCATTTTAAAGATGAATTACTGGCGTCAGACTTTGATTCCTTTGAAGAACTTAAACGAGAAAGGGTGATCAATTTCTTTGGAATCCCTTGGGCTATCGAAAAGGCTTGTTAACTTATTCGATAATTTCGTTTGATTAATGATAACATGAGCGTGATTTTTAAAAAGAGCTTCTTTTTACTATATTAGCTTATGTCGTTTGGGTTTTTTATTTGTATGGACTCGTTCTTGTATACTTTTACGATCCTTCCTTTACGTGTATTGCTAGTATTGTATACTGTAACCGCCAAGTTCATATCAAATCTCAGGCACGAAGAGAAACGGTATTTCCTTTTTCTCGAAATTCAAATCGTTTTTTTTTTGTACCGATTTCTGAAACCGATTTTTAAATCTATAAATTTTTAAAGATTTATCCATCTTAATATATCACAAAAATGTGATTTGCTCAAAGGGGTTTTAATCATTCTCGTTTGCATTTCACTACAAAGCGTTGATGCGGCACAGATGTATCATTCAATTCGTGGTCAGTCTGTAATCAAATTATATGTTATCTTCAACGTTCTTGAAGTAAGAGATTTATGCCAATGATAAAATTGTTAATGGAGTACTTCAAACTAAAAAATAAAAACTATTCGGGTTCAAGACTGACGTTTAAAGTATTCCATCAACAACATTAGCTAATCAGTAATTTACAATTTATTTGTCTTAAAATTATTTTAAAATAATTTAGATTTTCGACAAGCTTTGTTGCGCGTTTGGAGATGACATCCTAAGCTCCCTGTTTTCAAAGTCTACGCTTGGTGATAAAAGATCAGTGCCTTATTCCGGTAGACATTTGCGACCCATTAGCCATTTCTGCGCAGCTTTTTGCTATATCTGTATCTTTTTAAAAATTGATAGAAATAGATTGTTTATTATATATTTATATTTCTTAATTATATATTGAAACTTTTTACAGTGGCTCATACGATAATTTTGTTCTACCTTGCGATTACTCTTAACGTAGCAATTAATTCATACTCAAATGCATTACTCACGTTGTTGCTATCAAACCAATTTATTGAAATAAAGGGATCAGTCTTTAAGCGCTTTGAGAAAGAAAATTTATTCCAATTGAGTTGTTCTGGTAAGTTTACATTAATTATATATCGACAATCTAGTTTACATTTAATAATAACTTGATTATTTTATAATTGCAGACATTGTAGAACGGTTCCAACTTGCTCTTTTTCTAACTGTCATCACAGTGCGCAATCTGATCGAGCTTTCTGGTTCTCCTCCATCTCCTTTTTCTATTTTGCCTACATCATTCATTCCTTTATTTCCTGCAATGACAACTGTTGAAACACTTTTGACCCCAGTGATTATAGTGTTCGCATCTGAATTATTGGTCGACTGGCTAAAGCATGCTTTCATCACTAAATTTAATCATATCAGACCAAGTATTTATGATCGTTTTATCGACATACTATCAAGAGATTTAGTAGTTGGGAATAACGAAGAACAGAACTCTGAAAATCAAAAGGTAAAATAATATTTTTAATTATGATTATTGATTATTTGATTCATAATTTTTTATTATTTAGAAATTTTTTGATCAGTCCCTGATGGTCTCACGCCGGATTGGTTTCGCTGCACTTCCTCTCGCATGCCTAGTAAGCTTCAAATAAATATGCAATATTAATTTTACGATTTAATGCTCTGTGGTAATCAATCCAATATGTTACATAGACAATTCGAGTTGCGTCACAAACTATGACGATGATTTCAGATTCAATTCAAGAGATGGAAACTGAAGAACGATCAAATTTGGCTTTTGCATATGTGTTCACACAACCTAGTGGCGTATGGATCTTTTGTGGCATTGCCGTATTTGTGATGTACTTTTTATTATTTATTTTAATTTTATAATCTAATTTCGTTCCAATTTTATCAAATTCTAATAATTACATCGCTCTTATTTTAACATTTATAGACTAACTTTCATAAAATTATTAGTTGGGATTAATATTCTCGGATTTGCCCACCGACGATATGCGGACATGGAACGTCGTGAAGCCGAAGAACGTGCTAGAACAGAAGAATTAGACTCTAACGTCGCAAAAGAAAAGGAGGTAAAGTCTTTTATCGGTCCACTTATTCAAGACAAAATTAGACGTTAATCAATTTCTTTTTTTATAGCAATTAAGCAGTAAGGTTCCTGATGACCCTAGAGATAATGTTTTAGGTAAACAAAAGCAGGTTATTACCCTGGACAATATTGATCGCTATACGTTGTTTAAAAGCCGTATTCCATGAAATATTATATGGACTGTGTTTTGCGTGTCTAACGTTTGCTAAGCAAAGGAATAAATTAATCTTATTTTTCAATCAGGGAGCTGTCTTAAAATCATTATTACATGTTTTAAAAAAGTTGCACGCCAGATGAGAAAAAGACACTTTAGAAAATAGATGTTATTATTTTAATAAATAATTCTTAGTATGTGTTAAAAGTAACGCTCATAATATTAATTAATTTCGTACATTTATTGCAGTTTACAAAATTTTGTGAATTTTGTAGAAATCACTCGATTATTAGATGATTTATGATTTCTCAAACTACTCTGATATCTAAATATGAAATTATATGAAATTATCATATAGGAATAGTTTAAGAAATCATTAATTACCTAACAATTAAGTGATTCTTTTTTGACCTACGTACAAATTTCAATAACCTTAATAAAAATATCATTCGATAATTTTTAATACAGTATAACCTCGATATAACGAACCTCGATATTATGAACACTAATTGTATAACGAAGGTCATTCCAAATTTTTATATTTAAATTAGCCTCGATATAACGAATCTATAAGAAATTTAGATATAACGAAGAAAAACCTCCAGTTCCAGAGCTTCGTTATATCGAGGTTATACTGTAATCGTATATTAGTAATCATTGCTGCATTGATTAAAGGTGCAAGTGAAACTTGGGATGCGCCATATCAAAACTCAGTTTAACTAGCCGCGGAAAATTGAAATTTGCGAATGTAACGTATAATGTAACTTGTGCCGCAACTTATCCGTGACTTAGTAACAATTATATACTTTGAAATAAGATTATCTTCCTGGGAGATTATCTGTGAAGTTACTCGTTTTTCATTGTAATATATTGGTATGTGGAGAATTAATCCATATAATTTATTTCTAATGAAGAACGTTATTAATGTTCTTAAAATGATTAGCGAAAGGGATTTAAAATTAAATAGATGAACTATTCGATTAAGAAAAATTTTAATGAAATTTTTAGCATATATGGTTGTGTTAATAGAGACCAAGCAAATCTTTTTTAATAGTTTTTTTAAAAAAAATTTTAAACAATAATAACTTAACAAAAACTTGATTCTACAAGTTTGTAAAAATTATTTAAAAAAAATTTCATTAAATTTGGTTAAGTTTTTGTTAAGTTATTCTTGTTTTAAGTTATAAAAAATTTTATTATAAAAAATTTGCTTGATCTCTATTGACTCACCCCAATATATTCTAAAATGAAAATTTATCACATGAGACTCGCAAACTCACACGTACGTAAAATACATCTCTAGGTGATTCTAGCCAAAACTCAATCACAGGATCTTAAAATTATTATATAAGCAAATAAATTTTAACTAATAAATTAACCAATAAAATTGGATAAAAAAGTATTTGTATACTCCATTTTATTGGAGTTTCCAATGAAATATGTTATATGAATTTCTTTTTTATCCAATTTTATTGATCAGATTATTAGTTTTATTGGTAAAAACGTTATTTGCTTTATAATAATTTTAAGGTCCTGTGATGGGGTTTTGACGGTTTTAGTCTTGCTAAAGTCAATTCAGTAATAAAATCATTTAAAATAAGCTAGTAGATTAAAAGTTATTACTAATTACAAAATTTTGGCCATATAGTTATTGCATGCAAAGTATGCAATAACGGGTTTATTCAATGATTTACTATCTCAATTTATGAAATAAAAACAATAATTTTATCATATAAAAAGTGTCATAAAAGAATTGATTTATTTTATAGACTAATTATAGTAAATCATTGAATAAAAACTGGTTATTAAAAATACTAAATTTATTAATAAACTAAGAACGTAAAATATTTAATTTCAGCTACTAAGCTTACTCGTCTTTGACCGCCACGTAGAGGCATATCCTTGGTCATGATCTTACGAATGAATAAAGTTATGTATTAGAAGTTAAAAATGTAATACATAAAAAAAAATACTAACCTTTTAAAAAAATATATAGTTCTTATAAACCAAATGTTTACCATTCAAACCATTCAACTATTCAAATCGTAATCAACGCGCACTACTCAAGTAAATATTCTATTGTTGTGTTACACGAATATATCGCAGCAGCATGGAACAGGGGTGACCGTCCCAAATAAGGAAACAAATGTTACACAAGCGTTCCGTCCTTGCATATTTTCTAGACCAATCAAATTAGCGGCTTTAGATTTGAATTTCAAGATCGAGGTCTACCGAATAACTGATTGTAGTGGCAATTAATTGAAATTTTTCGAACACAATTAAGTGGCAATTAGTTAATTAATTGCAATTTTACGTAATAGATTACATATCGTCGTTAGAATTATTAATTACAGTAAATATATCTTGCGCTGTTTAACAAAATTGTATTACACCAGACAGCATTCTTCGCAGTATAGAATCCTTCTCGCCTGTGATCAATCACAAATTAAAATTATTTATGTTGGATTCAATTGTGATGGATATAATCCCTCACCAGTCTTAATATATGTGTAACATTAACGGTCTTCTAATTAAAATTAAGCAATTAAATAATATTACGATCAAAATAATTTAATAAAAAATTTACTAAAGGTTTAATTATATTGCAATAATGTAGTAATTTTATGTAATAATTATCATTGTATCATCTATTATTGCTTCAACATTTGAATCATCCTCAACCATTCCTTCATTATCATTGTTAATGAATTCATTTTCACCCAATTTGTTTACTAAACTTGTCCTAATTGTTTCAATGTTTTTTTTTTAATTTTGTTTTGAAGATATTCCAAACAAATCAAACATTTAAATTTGCATCTTTGCAAACAATAGTTATAATATCTATGTTTGCATAAAAGAACATTATCATTATTAGAGAAATTAGTATAGTTAGTACAATTACAGTATAAATAATCATATAAAAAAGTCATAAACAGTTTTCTGGTAATAAATTCTTTAGAAAGGTGGTAATCTGTCATTTTGTAACCTACAAAATGTAACTTATAAGTGTTAATATCATTAAATAAATTAATAATCAAAGGATACAAATAGTGACTTAATATATCTTTTCAAAAATATTTAAAGCAATGTAGTATACTTTTGAGAAAGTGTATGCAATTACTTTAGTATATACAGATATTTTACAGAAATAACAAAATGATATCAAAAATTATTATTCTTTCAATACTAAAAAATGAAATATACTTCTAATCTGCTATGAAAAACTTGAGAGTATATTGCTAAATAATACAATAACTAACTTCTACAAGAAAATCACTTAATAAAACAAGATAAATTGTAATTATGTTGATTATTGAATAATTAATTTCTATCTAGTAAAAAATATCCAAAAAGAATATTAAAGAAGTATACTTATAGTTTTTTCAATCAAACAAAAGAAAAAGATTAGTTTAGCAATGCATGCATAACTTCTTATAAGTTAACCAGTTATCTTCCTGATAATAAATAGCATAAATATTAAAAATTAATATAATTAAATTACTCAACAGATTAGTTAAATATAAAAATTCAATATTTTTACAAGTATAACTAAATTTGGAATAAATAATATTAATGATATTTAGCTATGTCATACATATTATATAAAGAATTAAATTGATTTGCCATGGCTGTAGCTTCTTATCAAGATTCTTTCTTTTTTTAAATATGTTTTTATAAATATCATTAAAAAGAAATGAATTTTTTTAAGTAAACAAGTTTATAGCTATTTAAAAATATATAAAGAGAATTCATTATAGAAAAAAATAATAAAATGAATAGTATAATAATTTTATTGTTAAGAAGAATCTGATGTGTAATAGCTTTCTGAATATAAAATTAGTTGGGCCAGTCTACAATAATAGAATTACATTGTTTTCAAGATAGTTTTGCATAACTTCTTGATTAAATACTATTTGAAAAGTTTTTGTATAATTTTTAACATTTTTCAAATTACTTTCAATGAAATCAATAAGGATAGAATTTTGTATATATTAATTTTTTTTTTACTAACTTGTTATTATAACTATACAAAGTTAGTCTCTCTAAAAATTCATTATCAGAACACTTATATAATTTTTTATATGCTTATGATAAAAAATACTTAGATTAATATTAAATTATTCATTTAGATACCTTGTGATTAGTTTGTTATTAAATTAGGTATACTATTATATAATATTAATTATATAGAACATGGATTTGCTAAAATTATTATAATGTGTATTGGAATAAATGCATTAGTAGAGTTAGACTGCTATAGTAAATAAATAATGTAATAATTATCAATATTCAGTACAAAAGCTTTTTCTGCATATTTTAAAATAGCATCTTCTACATATTTCTTATAAGCATTTAAAATTTATTTTTTCTTTTGATCAATTGCTCTTGATATTGTAATTATACTAAGAGTTGCTATTATATTTAAATCTTCATTGCTTGTACTTACAAAATCTAGATAATATTCTATATTGAACTTAAAAAAATTAATTTTTGTATTATTTAATAATGCAAAAAGATAGCATATGTATACTATTAATTTTTTCATATAATTTATAGTTTGCACATTGCTTTAAGTAGCCTAGTTATTAAATAAAGTTGATTAAAAAATTTTTCAAATACTTATTTGTTTAAAATACCTCTTGCAATTCATTATATAAATAAATAGAACCTTTTTTTTTTACATGTTCTCTTTTATAAAAAACTTTTGTTATTGGCCTTTATAGTCTTAACAAGATTAATTATATTTACTTTTTTGTTCATAGTTTCATAACTTTTATTGTAGTTTCTATATTTTTCTTAGTAATCTTTACTTATTTGCTAGTTGTAACTTCAACTTCTTTAACTTTTTTAATTAAAACTTTTAATTGTTTGGCTCTTCTTTTTAATGAATTTACTACAAAATTTATATAATAATTATAGTATAGTTTACTATTTTTCTTTTAGGTTATCTTAGTTAAACTACTATTTTCTGTTTTTTCTTATTTTTTGTTTTTCAAAAAGCAGAATATAGTT